TTGACGGGATCGGCTGGTCCTGGGCACTCGTCGGCGGCTCGACCCAGTCGTACACATCAAGGTCGACAAGCGACTGGTTTTCGTTCCGCATGGACTCTTGCCAGTCTAGAGCATCCTGCCCACGGATCGCTTCGTCGTAGCTCGAAGGGTCGGGAGCCCTGTAGCCCACTTCGCCAGGGTTGCCAGTCCCGTTGTTGCCAAGCGAGCTTCCGGTGAGCAGGGAGCGTTCCACTTGCTCGAAGGCCTCCTCCTCCGTGGCAAAGGTAAACAGGTTCAGACGTTCAGTCGGCTTGGGGTTCCTGGTGCTGCGACGGGGGCCCGGCTCTTGCGCCTGAGGCGTGGGCTCCGGCTCGTTATCCTTCTGCTCGTCTTGTGGCTCCACCACACTGTCGACGTCGTCATCAGACTCTTCCGGACCGGGATGGTAAATCATTGGAGTCTCTGGCAGCGGATCATGCCCTGCCTTGGGGGGAACCACGTCGCGCGGGGCTTTCTCGCGAATAGAAACTTCGGCGGAGTTGGTGATCTTAAACTTGTCACGAGGGGACCATAGCCTCCACGACCGGCTTTTAGGGTTGACACCGACCAGAAACATCTTCTCAGCCCTGGCAGCCAGTTTGTTGGGCCTGTCCCCCGCTTCCACGTGCTTAAAGCATACCGAACCGAATTCGCGGATGTGGTGCAAGCTGCCAAGCGGTTTGTTCTCCCATACCTCAAGTGGTGCCTTGCCGCCCAAGACGTCCGTAGGCGTGCGATTCAGTATATAGATCGCGTATTGGAACGCTTCGGCCCACAGACTCTCCGGTAGATGAGGTGCCCCAAGAAGAAGGCGCCGCGTTATGGCTGCGACCGTGCCAAAGCCACGCTCGGCGACGGCGTTGCCTTGAGGCATGTACGGGGCGTTGGTCTCGATTTTGATTCCAAGTGATGCTGCCAGCGCCGCGAACCTTCCCTTGAACTCGCCCCCTCCGTCGCAGTGTAGCGTGGTGATACACAGTCCTTCCGGGTCGGCTTCCTCCTTGACAACAGTTTCCAGCGCCTCAGCAGCTGCATCTTTGCTCTTGATGGGAAAACCAAACCTCATGCGGGTATTGTCACACGTGAACATCACCGCACCCTTGTGTCCACCGAGAGATTTTACGGAGTGCGACCAGGTGTCTACGTGCAAGAGCGCAAGACGAGTGCCGGCGCGAGGTCGGTTAGCCGGTGGGTGACTAGACTTCTTGCTGTTGCCGACAGCACATACCTCGCAGTCGCCAGACTCGATGTTTTGGTCAAATTTAACCCCAGAATGCTCCTTCCTCGCCAGCTGCTGGAGGGCGCGCGGATTACAGTGGCCCATCCTCCGGTGCCACATGTGTGCATTCACCTTCGTCTTGAGCAGCATCGCGGTCCCGTCCATCCTCATGTCGTCGAGGACAATGTTCACGCTGTACATCCGCGAAATCTCCGTGGAGATGGGGAAGGCCTGATCGCTGCTACGGAGTGCTGGAGGAGTAGACAGAAGATCGCACATCACCCCCCTTTCCTTCAGGGCTCCGACCGAGAGGATGTTCGCTCCTAGGTTGTCAACCAGTAGTACTTGTAGCTCCACCGGGACGAGTTGGTTCCGGTCGTTTGAGATGCCGAAACGCAGGATACCTTTCTGAGCCGCGCTCGACGTTCCACACGAACCTTTGATCCTCACGTTGCAGTCCGACTTCTCGGTCACGTGGCGAGATGCGTAGGAATCCGCGCTAACCATGTGGCTAGACGCTGCTGTGTCTACGAACATAATGGTGCTCCTGGCGGACTCGTCCTTAACCTGGTACACACTGGTGTAGGCAACTATATCTGTTGCATCAGCAAGCGGGTTCTGCACCTGAACGTCACTAGCAGCATCAGCAGCACGCTCCTCGGGCAGCGGCACAGCAGGGGTATCCAGCACTTGCTCATCGTCGGCAGCGCGCTCCTCTGGCAGCGCCGCGGCAGGCGCCTCCGCCACCTGCTTCTCAGCAGCAGCGCGCTCATCGGGCAGCGCCACAGCAGGCGCATCCAGCACCTGCGCATCATCAGCAGCGCACTCCTCTGGCAGCGCCGCAACAGGCGCCTCCGGCACCTCCTCCTCAGCAGCAGCGCGCTCCTCCGGCAGCGCCGCGGCAGGCATTTCCAGTGCCTGCGGATCGTAGATGACAAGACCTTCCTGCACGCCCACGGCGGCGCGCTTCTCCGGCAGCGCCGCGGCAGGCATCTCCAGTGCCTGCGGTTCTCCAAACGAGATGGAAAAGTCCTCCGGCTCACCGCTGGATTCCTCGACTCGGGTGAACCATGCCTGCGTGGACGGTTCCGGCGCGGCGGCATTCGCCTGTTGGGCGTTATCCTCTCGCACGTTCTCCAGGCGAAGGGGGCAGCCGTCCCATCCGTGCTCTGTAGAGTTGTGGCAGTACTTGCAGCGTCCCTGACGGTCTCGGCCCTTTTGGTGACTTTTGTTTCCGCCTTTATTGGACTTGTTGCCGCGGCCTCGCCCGCGCACATCTTGCGCGCCTCCAGGGCTATCGCCTCTGGAATTTCCGGCGGAGGAGCCGCTGCTGCCGTTGTCTCCGGTCGGTTGGCTGCCATTGCCTTGGCGGTTGCGTCCGCCGCGTCCGCCACGTCCGCCTTGCTTACGGAAACTACGTGCACCCCCGTGCACGACCGTGTTGTGGGCACGGCCGTGGGCAGAAACCTTCCCCCTGATCTGCAGTGTATGGTACGCGGTCGCTCGGTGCGCGACATTTTCGAAGTCAAGATCCAACTCCGAGCCATCGGCTTGTCCGCACACCAGCGCGGCCTTAAGTTGGGCGTAGTGCTGGTCAGGAAGCGCGTTCAACAAGATATGCGTCTGGCGGGCTGGTACGACCTTGTCTCCAAGTGACTCGAGTTCGGAACTGATACGACGCAAGTCTTGGATTGCACGCGCCGGGTCGTAATCGTCCTCGGCAGTGACCGCAAGTGATCCTAACTCTCGCTGCAGTTCATGCATCCGATAGGTGCCCTTCTGGCGGTACTTCGCTTCTAGGGCAACGTATGCCGCACGTCCGTCCCCATGCTCACCAACGCGAGCGGGGCCGAAGGCTCGAACGACTTGGGAAGCAGTGCTCGAGAATCCATCGGCGCAGTCGGACGTAGCAAAGTTTAACCGTGTGTACAGTTTGCCGTTCTTACGTTTGAATTCCAGCGTCGTCCTGTCGAACGCAGCACGATCCGAATCCGCGCTGCTGGCCGCCGATGCCGGGGCGGTCTCCGTCCCAGCCATGATGTCGCCTAATCCTTGCTCATCCATGATGGAGTAGAACAGGCCACTCCAGCCGTGGAAATCTTCCGGCTTCCCGCTAAACGGGACGTATCCTTGTTTCAGGTAGTTCGTGGCGGACGCCATGCTGCTGCTGGGGTGTGACTCGATGTGAATTACCTACCAAACGCTAGGCTCATGACCTGACAACAGAATTGTAGTTGCTGTTTGTTGTGTAGTTGGCAGTGGTGGCGCAGTTTGGGTAGATACAACACAGAGTGATCATTAGATCCAAAACACAGGCGCCCAAGCTGTCTTCACCTGACGGTTACAGACTTGGAGACACGCCTTCACAATACTGCACAAAACCCATGCAGTAGAATAGAGTCAGTTCTTGCATACAAATCCCAACAATAGGTGGTGTTGTGCTGGGGACTCACCAATGACCTCGGTTTTGGGGTGATCTTCAGGTCTCCGCGAAAACAACAAAAAAAAGCTAAAAAAAAGTCGCTGGTGGGCCAGACTTACTACGCCTCTTTTGCTCCAAATGGGCATATAGTCTATTTCCGAACAGAGGAAGTAATTGATTTTTCGTGCCCCACATCCCTCCTGCCACGCGTGCTGAATTTCATTTTTCATCGCGAGAGTCCAGCCGCCCATTCCCCTCGTCAACGGTGCTTACGCTGAAGTTTGGTGTTGACGATTTTTTTTGCTTTTCTAGCTTCATTCACTCCATGGGGATTCGAACTCACGACTTTGCGACTATAGCATGACTTGGCGAGAAGCGGTTTCGACGTTACCACTGGACCACCGAGGCGAGCGATACGGCAGCAGTGCCTTGAACATTTGCGCCTACACCAAGCCGACACCGGTTTGTTGTCCCAACTTGTGCGCAAAAAACACAGGTCAACAATGCAATGAATGGTAGTACTAGACGATTGTAGAGGCATTGTGGTCGGTTCGTATTTGCGTCCCACGAAGAACGCGACACACTAATACGACACAACTCACGAACCAACGGGACCAGACGTCCTTGAACGGGAGAGGGGGACAATTTCGTGAACGCGTCCGTGTCCGTGGACATCAGTGGAAACCGATGGCCGTCAATGGACACGTCCGTGGACGGCCATGAACATCCATGGACGTCCATCCGTTGAAGTCCGCGGACTTACACCGGCATGTGACCGGACGTCCACGGACACGTCTACGGACGTCCACAGACGTCCATGGACATCGTCCGTGCACGTATAAATATTTCGGCAGAATATCACAGGGGATCCGTCAATGAACACCAGTGGACGCCGAAAGCTCTCATAGGAGCTTCCGAACGCGAACCCGTCCACCGACGACGTCCATGGCCCGTGTCCGCGGACATGTCCGTGGATACGCCACGGAGAATGGACATGTCCATCGACGCGTCCATGGACGTGCGTCGACGTCCGTGGACATATCCATGGACGTTGTCCACGGACATGCCGTGGACATGTCCGTGAACGTGTCCACGAAAATTCCCATGGACGTCGTCCGTGGACGTCCGTGGACATTCACGGACGTCCGCGGTCGTCCACGGACAACGTTGGACGACGCCCGTGGACTTCCATGGAAGTGTCCGCGGGCGTCCATGGACGTGTCCACGAAATGGTCAAATAATGTACACAACCCGTCCAAATACCACATACCACACGAAGTATCGTACGGAATGTGTATGTTGATTGTAGACAGACAACTACAGTAGCTCACTCTACCCTCTTGTCCCAAGTGCTACGGAGTTTTCAAGAGTTCTACGCATTGGGTAGATTATTGACTATAGACCGATCGCCATTGTCGACACCAAGCCCAAGGACGGGAACGCCAACTGCATGCGTCCGGCAAAAATGCCACCGGATATGACAACCACACAGTACGAGTGAAATCTTGACGACAAAATCAAGACGCGTTTTCCCGAAGGGAATACCACACGACTCCGTATCGCCGACGGCAACAGAGGGGTGTCCCGATGCGATTACCTCAGCGACAATACCCCTACCTTCATTCTGTACTATCTGTTCACATACCCCGGGCATGGCATGTTGGCGTCCAAACTCTCCATCACACACAAACAGGCACCCAAGGTGCCGCACAAAATCACCAGTTGAAGTAATCGATTACTGGCTCGCAGAGGATGGTTGCGTGTACCCCACCTCTTTGAGAGAACGACAAGCACGGGCCTCACAACACTGCATAATATTCTCAGCTGGAAGAGCTTGTTCAACTCATAACGCAACAGACGAACGAAAAAATACGCCCTGCAAGGGCGCAACAGCCTACGACGGTGAAATTGTACCCACGCTCACAACACGCCTGAGTTGGTTTGATTGAAGACTTCGCCTTCGAACAGAACACATACACCTCGCCAACGATGGGCATTCGGAGCGTCCCGTTATGCACAGAGTGAGTTTCAAGCCGGAAGTCAACGAACACCAGAAAATGAACACCGCAGTGCATTTCACCTCGAGACCTTTCAACATACTTCACTATACTACACGTATATGCCTCAAAAGAATGGATACGATACGCAAGTGCACCTGCACCCACGCACCCACCCGACCATCACCCCTGGCTGATGGCTCGGGCCGAGAGTCCGCGAGCAAACCACGTTCACAGGAACAGCAGGCAACATTGTCCAATATTGTTTTAGTACTCGTCCCCGCTGTCCACGTCGTAGGTGTAGTCGTAGCTGAAATGGTTGCCCGGCTCAGCCATGCGACACCTCTGAAGGCACTGCTGGCGAGCCGCCGCCGGTGCATCGGGGAGCGACTCGATCAGATTCTGGAGAACGGGCTCTTCGAAGTTCACCGAAGCCTGTGGGTGGATCACCATGACGACAGTTGAAGCCCGGTCACGATTCTGTGGAAGAGCAATTCGAGGAAACCACATACCCTAGACTATACTACTACCGAGTGATTGAGACATACATGCTATCATGAACTTTGCAGCCAAGGATTTCAAGTAGAGTGCGAAAGGCCACAACATACTATTGCTGAGAGGAACCGAGCACGCACGCACCTGGATGGCCTCCAACGGCAGCTCGAAGAACCGAGTCGTGATCGTAATGGCACCGGGGTCTTCGTTGTTCAGCGCGGCCAGGAACGTTGCCGGCTCGCAGTCAAGGTTCTGCTGGTAGTGGATTAGCCCCTGAGGGAAGAAAGCCACGTCCCCCTGGGCAAGGTCATTGACCACAGCCCCCTCGCCACCGTTCTCCTCTACGAACGCCACCCGGAGTTGCTCGCCCTTGATCACGTACACCATCTGTGAATAAATGGAGTGTTGGTGTTGTGTGTGGGGATGGGGGCGAGGTTGAGGCTCGTATATCTTTGAGGTGCACTTCGTCCGCAGAGCGTTATACATACGGAAGTGTGGCATCGCTGTGTTCATGGCTACGGTCATGATCTGCAGCTTCCGGCAAAATAACGTCGTAGCCACAAACTCCACATCAATTTACTTCAGTCGAAGATCGTGGTTGGCTTCGCCGGCTTGTGTTCAACCGTTCACGCTAATCGCTGCCCATTGCGGTTACGTCGTGACAGCCTAAATGTCTCCGGCCGTGGCTAGATGGGTAGCCTGATCGATAATTCGGGTGGCTCAGTTCTGTGTGTTGGGAGTGTAGAGCAGCTGGGCCATGACGGGCCGTGGTAGGGGAGGGACGTATAGGAAAACGTATTGTATTCTTCGGGGGCGTGCTCGTGCTCGTAAATCTGTCACGGCATCAAGCACGCGTCATGCTCATCACGCTCAAACTACCAAACGGATCTCTCTGATTCCTCCGCATCTCATCACTGCAATTTCCGTAAATAAATACGTGCTGAAGATCTTTCCCGTCATACTATGCTACGAGTACCCCCAATATATCTAATATAGCCTTGCCCAAGAATATGACCTATTCGTGACGACAACTTTCAGCACCACCAGTGCTAGCGAGGCACTGAAGATGGTAACGTTTGTTTTCCCAAACCAAAAAAATTACTCAAGGCGCCAATGCACAACAGCAAAAAGAATAAAGACCACGTAAACGACATAGCTTCGGCATTTCCTTCTATCGGCAATGAGTATTTTCTCGCGCTTCCTTCTCAGGGGCACGCAGGAGGCTCGTCGGCACATTAACGCCCATGCGCGGAGCTGGGCAGGCCTCCATGGGGCATGCATGTGGTTGAGCGTCAAAGTCGCAAAAACTGGCTCTGTTCCCCGGGAACTCACCAAAAACGACAGAAAGAAAAATGACCCGCACGCACTTTTCAAACAGGTTTCTCGCTGCCAACGACAGCTAGCCGGAAAAATCTGATCATCCATACACCCCCACAATGAATCCCTATTCATGTTGCTTCTTTCAAGCTGGTGCCATAACCTCGGTTAGTGGTATTTCGGGCTGAAAATCAGTTGTCCGCTTTGCAGCCTCATGTAGCGAGAAAAAAATGTACTTTCCGAAATTCTTCTCCTCGCCTGATCTTCATCTGCATCATTCATCATTCGCTGATTCCACACCTCGCTGTGACTCTTCGTGTTATCGCACGCAATGCCCATCAGCACCTGTCTTTTCTCTTGTACATTTCGCAGACGGCGCAGCGAAACCCCGCTCGCTGCTGTAGAAAAGTGTGAGAGCGCATGCACCCACAGTGTTCATCAGTTTTTTTTGTGAATTTTGTTGTTTCCGATTCAAACTCTGCTGTTCGGAGTCTACCATCACCTACCTATCGGCTTGCGAGCGTTATGCTTTATTGTCCATCCAAAATAGCACACAGCATATTTCCGGCAATACGCATGTGGTCTTGCGTCGCCGCGGGAGGCTTGACACCTACGTCCTGAAGGGACACCAAGCAAGTAAGTCTGCAATTTGTAGTCTTAAGTCTACCGAAGATTGATTGTGCTTGACACCTACCTCCAGACTGTCCTTACACATGAGTAGTAGACAAAAATCACCTGTTGCAACATCTTCTTGACGCGAGAGGGAGAGTGGGACCTTTTACCCGAAACCGAGAGTGAGAGGAGCTTCACAAAAATGAGGGCTCTAGTCTAGTCTAGCAGCAGTACAGTTGGGGCCCGCGAATAAGAAACGTGAATTTCGGGTCGATGTCCAAAGTCTTGTTGGTGGAGCAAATACCAAAGCATGAGTACCCTTTTTCTTGAAATTGAGTTTCTCGTATTTCTGGCTGTTGGTCGAATACCGAATACTCATGAATTTCTTGAACATACAACTAACTTCTTATTTATTTATTTTTATTTAATTATTTTTTTGCCTTCCGACAATTGCAGATGTACCTCAGAAAACTTTCACTTAATGTCTCATACTCTACATGAATATTAAACCAATACGAAGTACAACAACATATGTATGTAGGACTTATTTCTACTGTCACTTATTAGGCCCATGTTTATGGTTTCCAAATCTTTATCTTCCTTTCATTGGACAAATGTTGGCTTTTTCGACCTTCCTTGTGGGCAGTCTGCCTCCCCGAACGAGTGCGGATCAGCTGTTCGACCTTTGAGAACAGTCACAGCTTTCCCTGAGATGCGTACAGACCGCCTATTTGTTTCGCCAGGGTCCAGGTTTGACTTTTTAAGATGCGCAATTTTTCACGCAAGATTTTTCCAACACCAGCTTTTGGACAGATCTTGGCCCAAGATTTTCTCCGAGGTGGCCATTCGGCCGAATCTTCAACATCTCGCTCTGCTGGAAAAAAATCAAACGTGGACCCTGGCGAAACAAATAGGCGGTCTGTATGCATCTCAGGCAAAGCTGTGACTGTTCTCAAAGGTCGAACAGCTGATTCGCATTCGTTCGGGAGGCAGACTGCCCACAAGGTCGAAAAAGCCAACATTTGTCCAAAGAAAGGAAGACATAGATTTGGAAACCATAAACATGGGCCTTACATCGTAGTAACATCTCCTCTTCAATTTGAAATAAAACCAATGACAATCCTCATGGTATCCTACATGCGTTCGTAAGCTTGCTAAAATACTACTGCGTTGATGTCCTCTTGTAAAAGCTGAAATCCAACAAATGCTTTGATCCATGCTACATCTCCGTGTTGGAAAAGCCCTTTCTTCTCCGTTCATGATCACATCTTACCCTATTCTACGCAAATCTGTCACATCTACTCTCAAACAAGACGCCAACTTCAAACAAAAACGCGTTCTACGATGCGTCTACACTCCATCCCCATATCATTGGCGTTGACTGGTTCGAGGTCGATCTTGTTCGCCTGTTTCCGGCGTCTTGACGCCCGCGCAATGCGAGCTTGTACCTCTGCACTCGCCGAGATATTGTTTTGCTCTATCGCCTGGCTGATACGTCACTCAGTTACTGCTGTAGTTGGCGTTTCTTACTGTTACCCCTTCTTTCGACAACCATATCATCCTCCGTCTTCGAACGTCTCCCAACCGATGAGTGCGGAACACAGAAACAAAATGGAAGAACCGCTTCCTGGGGTCTAGTCTAACTGGTGCTTCCAAGGTGCCGAGGGGGTGTTCCGCGGTAAAGACTAATTGTCTCTCCCGCGGCGAGGAAATACTCGATCGAATGAAAAACCGTTCTTAAAAGCATAAAAAAAGAGAAACAAAAAAAATGTGATCGGATCGCCTTGATTGTTTATTTTCATCGCGTTGCCGATTTCGGCGCCTCCATTTCTCCTCGGCAATCGATTCCGCTTGGCCGATTTAGAGGGTGTAGAGCCACTCAGAAAGTTGATCAGACAAAAACTCGACGTGGGAACCGAGCATCCAAATCCCAGGAATTTTGAAATTGCTCAGCTACTGTCAGCTTTTGAGCAGCTGAAAGTCCATTGCAAATCAAACTGGGACATTCCAACAATATATTTGTGATCCCCACCCCAAAATTACCCTAATTCGAAGTCAGGGGAGATTGAATCAACATGTAGAAAGTGTTGCGGGAGGGGGGATATTTTAGTGTAATTCCTAGTATTTCCAGGTTATCCCTGCTTTCGCGCATGTATATCAGAGCGTAGCTGCATCACGGCCGCATCGATCCTGATCGAAATTCTGACGACGGATTCTTGATGCACAACACAACATTACCCTAACCTGAAAATTTTATACGATTCGGAGGCGTTTGCAACTTGCTCGGGGGGCCCGCAGACGCGATTTTCACCCAATTATGGCCACTAATTCATCAATAAGTCATCACCACGACATCCAAATGGGAAAATAAGTACATTTTCGTGATCCTCGTGACTCAACGGATGTTGGTACAAATTTTCAGAGGTTGGGAACCATTTCTTGCTGCTCATTGAAAAACTCGTGGAAACTATTCGTCTTTACCGCGGAACACCCCCGAGGTGCGCCGCCCCCCCTGTGCAACAATGCATTGTTCGGAAGGAACGCACAAAGACAATCGAGCTAGTTGCCATGAGCTCGGGTCACCTAGTTTCTTCCATTTCATGCCTGGGGTGTGTGTGTGTGTGTTTTCTTATTCGGATGTTTCTTATCTTTGCGTCCGTTTTGAGGTGTGATTCTTGGTCACTTTTTTTCTTATTTTTCCTCAAGAGTTGAGGGCATTTTGCTTACATCAATTTTTCTTACGGGCAGGCCGCAACTGTACAGCAGCGGATTGAGATAAAAACGTTGATTCAACGCCGAAGGCTCGTTCACCTCCGTGGCACGCGGGTGGATGTGAGGCAGGTTGATGGCGCACGGGTCGAGGTTCACAAGGCCCATCGAGATGCCTTGTCCGTCCAGAGCCGGGAGCTGGTTGACGACGGCGGTACGGAGCTGGAAGCCGTCCACCAGGGCATCGGGCTCAGGACCGCCGAGGCTGAACACGAAGTCCTCGGGGTTATACAAGGTGATTTGTTGCTGAAAGCACGAAGGGGGGGCACGCAGGGCAGTATCGAAATCAGGAGGGCGTTTTCGAGCCATCTGCAGCACTGAGGGAGTACACGCATGCATGTCGTGGCCAGTCAAGAATACATGGAGCTGGTCCATAGACTACAGCAACATTTGTAGCAACGAATCGCCGGACCAAGCTCTCGGGCTCGGGCCCATGTTTCGCACACTGCGTGCGCACTCCCGATGTATGTGCCGGAGTCCTGCTCTGCAGCAGTGCGCAGCCGAGCACCGGACCACAAACTTCGTCTGCACTGCGTGCTACAGTAACTACAACCGTAGCACCGCAGTACAAGATGAGTGTATAACAACAAATTGGTGAAATCGAGAGCGAAGCATGAAGTGAGAGCGAGAGCCAAAAATTGAAAATTCGGGTCCAGACGCGTCTTGCCATTTCTTGGGGAGTAGGGGGTGGGCTCTTCCAAGAAGCGGCCCAAATTGAATGTCTCATCAGCAGCGTCACGAGCATTTGCGTGTCATCGTCATCGGATGCTGCAGCTAGGAGCTAGACAAGTTGCTAGGTTTCCCCAGATTGGCTATTCCTGCCTCAAACTGTTGCAGGGCGGTGTGGCCTCGGGCGGTGGCCGCTGCTGTAGCTTCTGCTCGCCGCTGTAACTCCACATCGAGAGACTCCCACAGGATGACCAGGGTATCTGCTCGTAGCTACGGGCTGGCCCTTCAATTCAAGCTACACAGCAAGCTCCACCTCTCAGCAGTATTCCAGCTGCAGCGCATCGCGCAAATCTCGCTCTCAATTTCATGCTTCGCTCTCAATTTCACCTATGTTGTATGTGAAACGCCTCTCTCTTTCTTTACTGGCTTCATCTGTACCTGCACAGTGACGACGCCGCAAACCTGCACCGCAGACATGAGCCCAGCGGCAATGACAAATCCAGCAGCAGCGCAGAAGGAGGTCTTCATGTTAATCGCGAATGGGGAGCTGGCGAAGGGTACGTTTGATGGAGAGGAGAGGAAGAGACCTGATGTGGTTTGGTGTGTGTGCTGGATCGAAATGCAGGTGAATGTTGTCGTTGGATCGTTTTCTTCACATGATGAATAATAATGGCGAATGACTGCTGTGTGGATCTTTTTGTCCTGCTGTCTACAGTAAGTCTCCGTGGGGCGCACAATTCCGACCTCACCCGGTGACCCGCCGACGGCGATCGATGTTTTGATAACAATAATGATCGCGTCGGTTCGTCACCGACATCAAAAAACCTTCAAGGGTTAGTCTAGTCTAGGGACACAGAGGTTGACTTATACCCGCAAAACTTGGATCTGCCGCAAGCGCTCGCCAAACCTTTTCACCTCGCTCATCACTGTGCGGTATGAGAACTCATCACGGTAGGTCAGGAAGCAATTCGTGCTGTTCGTCGTGTGTACAGGTGGAGAGTTGGGGACTGCACTCGCTGAAGAACTGCAGACCCACTACACAAAAAATAAACACCTATTCTTTTGTTTTCTTGTATTTTGTCGCTCTGCTAACAACCCTTGGGGTCCATTTTATTTTGGTATACCTTGTATAGGTACGTTAGCCTGTGACCACGGAAATTGACCGAGTCAAGTGCTGGATTAGTACGGAGAGATTGAGACAGAAGGAGGTACTGGATAGAGAGACCGGGGTGGTTTTTAATGTGAAGACAACAACAACAACAACAACAACATTGTGGGTCACAACTCTACGAACCCAACCCACTAAGTCTTTCACCACACATCCTACGACCTTGGAGAACGTTCCCCACGTTCTCCTCGGAGAGATCGTCTCTCGGGGCGATGTCGAGGTCGCCAACGCCCCGAGCCACGAGGAAGCGTGCAACGTTACGAGGGACCTAAAGCCGTCTTCCACGAAGCTTCCTCGGATCGTTGACCGTGACTTTTGTTTGAGAGGGATGCGAGGGCGTGCCCTCGCACATCTCTCCCTCTTCACTTCTGTCCCCATTTCATTTCGAGATTCTGTCTCCCAACTGAGAATCACAGTCTGTCCGGTGATCGTAAACACCGTCCCATATCTGTGACCGTTGCCTGAGTGGAACGCCTGTAGATACAGCGTGGAAGATTCGCACCTCCCCGCGGTGTCTTTGAGTTCAAACCATTACTTTTGATATCATTTTTGCTACTCTTTCGTTTTCTGTGTTTGTCCTTGATGATTAGTCTACAGCAGCAGCAGTTCTGCGTGTTCTCCGACAATTTGCTCGGGAATTGTGTGTTGTCTATTGTTGATGATGGTGATACTGCTGTATGCATATCTCAGCGGGTACTACTGTTGTTGTTTTGTTGTTGTTGTTGTTGTTCTTGTCTTCAGCAAAAACCGTTCGGATTTCTTTCGGGGCTGGCCGCGGCGGCGTGTCCGACAAATAATGTAGGTAGAACTTTCGCACCTACCTGTTTGTTTGTTGTTGTTTGTTGTCTTCACATTAAACCGTATGTCAGTTGCCAAATGCCAAAATCTAGCAAAAGACTCTCAGCCCGTGGTCACGAAAGCGCTAGAGCCATCTGAGGATCTAAAGAACACGCACACATATAACGAGAAAAAGGTATCCAAGAGCCCGAAGAGGTACACCTTAAAATCCCTGCAGCACCGTATGCGTGCCCAAAAACTGAACTGCACGTCCGTCCCACCGTTCGACTACAGTAGCATCACCCCCTCCCTGTCCCACTCTATACCAAAACGGAAGATTGCCGACTACAGCATA